TTATATCATTTTTTCTTCAATGAATATGTATTACTTATACAAGGAAAAAACACAGTTAGCTGCTGTGCACCCAATTAGAATAACCCATTGAGCTCAAAATTACATCAAAAGAGACAGAACAATAGATGCCAAAAGTTGGGGGAAATATGAGGAAAACCTAAATTTTTTTGCCCCAGTAAGTTGGGACTAAGGAAAGGCTATTCTTATTTATGGCCTATGAAATATCTCGGTCTAGCCAACAGCCCAGCATGTTCCACAGTGGCATGGACTGTAACCCCAGGAACTGGTTGGCTTTCTAACTTTGAAGGAAAAACTCAAGCAGAGCTATTATCAGGCTACCTGTCCCTAGATGCAGAGTTAATAATAAGGTGCTTGTACCAGCAATTTGTGTTGTATATGGTATGTTTTAGGGCTGTACAATTTGTTCTCAGTGAAGTACAACACCAATATTTTACATAAAACATTTCCTATCCTTGCTTATACTTTTAAATGGTTATCACCATTCTTTCTTAGCCATTTTTTCCCCTATGAAAACACACCTCTGATATAAAGAGCTGTTCTAGACTTAGAAAACACTGAGTTACACATATATTTTTAGTCCTCTCCCCCTCAGAGAAATGAATGTATCTGTGTTTATAAAGAACAAGGCTATACCGATAGATGAACTGAACCTATTATCTTAACCTAGGCCTTTGGCCAAAGAACACAGGTAAAGTGTTACCAGGGTCTTCTGCAAACCCCCAAATAAAATAACAAAAAAGCCATATACCCTAACATTTATGATCAAACTTCCACTTACCCTCCTCCAACACTTAGCTCTCACTAGATGATATTAAGGTCAACCATGGAATACAGTCTTAGATGCATTTAAGAGCTTTCTGTTCATACATTCAATGGAGAAAGAAATTTTCTTCCTTCCCCAAATGACAAAAGTCTTCAGAATCCTGAAGGCCAAACCTACTTTCTAAGAGCAGGTCCCACACAAACATAAGGAACTATGTGACTAGTTGAGTTTGGTTTTAAAGGAGTCATCTTGGAACTTCTCATTAGCCTTAAGAATAATGCTTTTGTGCAAAAACACTTTTTTAACTCCTCTTACAAATATTTCCCTTCAAAATCTACAGCATTGTTTTCTCCTGGAAAAGCCTTCTGTTTAAGGTCGAAGCTTTCCTCTCCTCTCTTACCTCCTACTGGCCTGTCTCCCAGTCAGATCCCGGGGGGCACCTTCCTTCCTGATCCCCACAGTCCCGCAGGCTCCCAGGACCCTCAACAGGCCCCGCAGGCTCAGCCTTGTTCACACTGCTCTTCCGGCCGGCATACTGTTGGCGCTCAAATATTTGTTTAATAAACCGCCGGATTACTGCAGGCTAGTGCTGTCCAACAGAGTAGCTACCAGTCGATTGTGGCTTATGAACACTTGAAATGGGGATCCAGCAACTGTCAAACCGACCTTTTAACCAAATTTTAATTAAATAGCCACACGACTCTAACCTCTGACAAGAGGGTAAGGTCTGTTGATTACTTAAAAAATTAATACTTGCACATATATGTACACTTTTTTAAAAAGCAATATGTTCGTTACCTCATATACAAAAAAATTCAGGATAGTGGGAACACCAGTCCAGTTGTATTTCCCAGAGGGAGCAACACCTTATTTACTTACTTGTTTGTTTGTTTAATTGTCAAATGCTGTAAGTCCCCCCACTCTCTTTTTTAACTTTTTGTCGATTTTTTTTGGGTGACATTGGTTATTAAAATTATATGGGCTTCAGGTGTATAATTCTGTAACACCTCATTTGTATATTGTATTGTGTGTTCACCCAAGTCAAGTCTTACTACTTCCATAGTCCGTACTTTAGCTTAGGCACAAAGACTCCAAATTCTGGATTTGAAAACCTTTAGATCCACGTGGGTACTTTTGGAAATTTTGGCTGAATTTAATTAGTCCACATTCTATGGATTTACAACTACTCAGTAATAACGTAAACTCCCGAAATTACAACTCAAAATAACAGCGTGAAGCAGCTTAACCCTTCCGTGTACGAGCACGTGGCCAACACAAAATGTCTGACTGATGAGCCGACGGGACGAACGTGACCCAACCTCCACCTCCAAAGCCGGGGGCCTGGCCAAGGTGCCCCTGTGCTCGGGCCCAACAGGGGCGCTCGTGGCGGCCACGCGGGGTGGGGGTGGGGGCGCCCCTAACGTCACCGGCGGTGACTTCGTGCACGCAGGACTGAAGACCGCGTGCGCCCCGGGCAAACCGGGCTGGATTCCCACAAGTCGGCCACTTGTTACACCCGCAGCCACCCGGCGCACCCGCCGCCGGAAGGGGGGGTCGGCGACCCCGGGCCAGAGCTCGCCGCCCGGCCCAGGGGGGTCTGGCAGGGGCGCGGCTCCCCCGAGTGGCGCCCCGACCCGGGAAGCCCCCCCGCAGCTCGCGGGGCGGGCAGGAGAGGAGGGGCGGGCAGCAAGGGCGGCTCTGGAAGGCCCGCTCGCTTCAGGGCTCGGCGGACGAGCTTCTGCACTTGCGCGGGCAGAACCGCCCAGGCCCGCCCGACCCCCGCGCCTGTCCGGGCGGAGCCGGCTCCTTGCATCTCCCTTTAAGAACGGGGGGGAGCGGGACGGAGCGCTCTGGAGAGGAGAGGTGCCGACGGCGGAGCGCGCGGCTCCCGCCAGTGCGAGCCCAGCCCAGCCCAGCCCAGCGCGGCGGCGGCGGAAAA